TTAATATAGTCACACATAGACATATTCAACTGTAGGCATATTCGGCTTCGTAAACCTGTCGAGAAAAGAATTTCATTTTTTTGTTAGAAAACAAATTAAAAAAATATTTTTATTAAAAAAATATTAAAAAAGAAAAATAAATAAATAATGGCTAAATAAAGTTCGAAAATAATAAAAAATAAAAAATAAAAAATAAAAAATTCGTTTATAGGAATTTGGAAGCAGATTTTTAGGAATTAGATTATTGCTATGGAAAGAGAGAAAAATGGAATAATAGATTAATAATGTTAATTCACATAAGGCTAGAATTGGGAATAAAATTTCTAGCGGGCTATCATAAAGAAAGATTTAAGGGGCGGACATATCACCATTTCTTATCTATATGAGGGGTTTATTGCTAATGACCCATATAATTAAGGGGAAATATGCAAAACCCCCCTCAAACCATAAATATTATGAGTTAAACCCATTTGACTTTTAAGACTTTTGCCCACACCCAAAGACCAATCTTAATTAGTGAAACCCCCCTCAACAACTTTAATAAGACGGAACTACCCTTATCAGTAGTTTTTAAAATAATTGCAATATTTATTTTCCATAACCGTCTCACGTAATTGTAGGATTACATTAATTCTCTCCATATATCTCTCTTTCATTCTCTCTCTATTTCTCACGCAACTTCTCTTTTTTTTTTTTTTTTTCTTCTTCAGCCCATAATCTTCCATCACTCGCCAATGGACACCACTCAGCCGCACACGGCGCCGGCGCCGGGTTTGATTCTCCTTCCGAAGAGCGAACGAAAAAAAAGGAGAAAAATCAAGTTTTTGAGATGCAACAGTTTTCGTGCAGAGGCCAGATCGGAAGATCTAACCATCGGATCGGGTTGATATTTTTACACATGATTCGTAACACATAAATATAACTTATGAACGGTGGAGATCGGAATCAGACTTCTCTGAATATAGATTGGATCTTAAAACTCGCTGCTGGTTTTTGTTACTGAATAATTCATGGCAGCTAGATTGGACGCGTTTTTTGTACAATTGAACCGTTGGATGTGGCCTAAATTTGGATAGAGTATTCAGAGTATATATTTTTATATACTGTACGGAGGAGATTGAATTTGGTGCCCCCTAGCTCCGGATATAAATTGTGAAAGTATCACAATTCGGTAGTCACATTGTAGTCACATTCTCATGTTTTTTTGTAGTGCTGCACATCATGTCGTCAACCTTGATGATTCTGTTAAAGTATGGAGGGTCGTTTGGGGTGAAGATATGCCAGGGTGATTTTGTGTATGAAGACCTCGCCCTCTGTCTCGTTATTTTTCTATCTTTATTTATGTATTTTTCGATTTTTTTTCCAGATCTGAACAGCAGTAGTAACATGACTATAGCCATATTCGAATATGACTATAGTCATATTTAATATATTTTTCGAATATGACTATTCAAGTTGACTTCTAATAACAAGATTCAAATTGTGATTTTTTGTGTGGATGTTGATTGAATTGTTTTCGTAAATAATAGGGAATCTTCGTTGTTTTATATGATTTGGTAAACATCACTATGCCATATAATCGGAACTTTTAAGTTCAAAATGTAAAAAACAACAATATAAAGAAAGAATATGACTACAGTTTATAGTCATATATAGTCATATTCAACCATAGTCATATTCGGCGTTGCAAACCTGTTGAGAGAAAAATTTCAATTTTTTGTTTAAAAAAAGTTTAAAAAAAAAATTAAAATGATATTTTTATTAAAAAATATTAAAATTAAAAATAAATTCAAAATGACTAAATAAAGTCCAAAAATAATATAAAAATAAAAAATAAAAATAATAAAATCCGATTATTTTTTTATTTTATTTTTTTGATTTCGTAGCAATGTTTTAGGAATTTGGAACAGATTTTTAGGAATTAAATTGTTATGGAAAGAGAGAAAAAAGGAATAATTGAGATAAATTAGGGAAAATATATAATTAAGCCTAATTAGCGGGATTAGGTGCCTCATTAATAGGGATTTCGAAATTACTGGATAATTATAAAAAAAAACGTGATACACTACTAGAGGGGTAAGATTGGAAATAAATATTCTAGGGGGTTTTCACAAAGAAAGAATTATTGTATGGACATATCACTAGTTTTTATCTAAATGAGGGGTGTATTGCTAATGACCCCTATAATTAATAGGAGACTTTACAAATAAGTCCATCAATGAGTATTACTCATAAAGGGGTCCAGACAATAAATTCTTTTTATCAAAAAAGTCCACACATGGTCCAGAGGTTTGTAAAAGACTAAAATAGCCCCTCACATTTTTTTGAGGATTAAAAAAAAATAGCCCGTCATATTTTAATTTACTCCAATTCCATCCTTTAATTTAATATAACCTCAATTTTACCCCAAATTTCACAAATTATTCAATTTTGACCAACAACACAATTTTATGGACAATTTCGTCCATCACTGGCGCCAACCGCCGGTTAACTGCCATTGACTTTTTTTTTCTTCCTGATTTTTCCGCCACCGGTTTCCGGCGTTGACTTTTTCGATATTTTTTTTGAGTTTGTTTTCTTTAACATCTTTTTGCCTCTCCCATTTAAACAGCAATATTGTTGTGGTTGACAATAATATTAACTATATTACTGTTAAACATATTAAAATTAACTATATTATAGTTTAACACAATAATATTGCTACGTTAATCACTAGCACAATAATATTAACACAACAAAAGTCATTATTATTGTATAATAGAGTAATATTAATATGTAGACCGTTCAACAAAGGTAAACATAATAAAAAGCTAAAAAAAATAATATTATTGTGGTTGACAGTAATATTACTGTAACAACAATGATATTGCCGTCAACACAATAATATTATTGTGTTTACAGTAATATTACAATAATAAACAGTAATATTATTACGTTACTCCGTCAATAACTCAAACAAAAAAAAAACTGAAAAAGAAAAAATAATATTGATGTGGTTGACACTAATATTATTGTGTTTACAGTTATTTTACTGTCAACAACAGTAATATAATTACGTTGACTGGTCAACAAATCAAAAAAAAAAAAAACCAAAACAAATAATAATATTGTCGTTGACTCTAATTGTTGTCACCGATAGTGCAATTACATAAATGTATTATCAACGGCAGTACAATTACGTTAATGTACTGTCAGTGGCAGTATAATTACGTTAATTTACTATCAGTGGCGGTATAATTACTGTTAATGACAACACAATTACGGTCAATGTTTAGCGGCGGACGTAAAAAAAAATCACTAAAAAAAGTCAATGCCGGAAACCGGCGGCGGAAAGAACTAAAAAAAAATCGAAAAAGTCAATGCCGGAGACGCCTGCGGAAAAAACAGACAGAAAAAAATAAATCACAGCCGGAAACCGGCGGCAAAAAAATAATTTCTGAAAAGAAAAAGTCAAAATTGGATTTTTGTGGTTAAAATTGATTAAATTGGAGTTACAATTAAGAATTTGGTGTAAAGGGTAATTTTGTCATATATATTAATTTTTCATTTATTTATAATACATATTAAATGGACGAGCTTATTGGCGAAAGAGATATAGCCCCGAACCTAAAATAATAAAGATGACTGGTCAGCGACTTATGCACAAAAACCCCTAAATAATATTTAATTTTTTATTTTATTTGTATGAACCGGTTAGACCGACTCTAACCGGCAATTAACACTTACAAAAATCGGGTACGGAAACAGGATCAACTTTTCTGGTTTTGATTCCCATTCTGTGAATAAGCATTGATCCGGTTTGATTTCGGTTCCGGCTCTAACTGAACATGATCATGTTTATGTGAGGGTGTAGAAGTAATTCCACACTCCTACAACCAGTTGAAGGTTAGATTACACAATCTCATCTCCCTAGCCGGATGACTTATCACGTAAAGGAGGGAGGGACACCAGGGTTCGCCGGAACGGCCGTTTCGGAACGGGAACGGTGCCCGCCGTTCCGTAATCCCTAACAAAATCGTTTTCTCCCCTTGACGCGGCGAACCACCGAGACGGGCGAGACGTAGCCGGGAAACAGCACCGGAACGGCGCCGGAACGGTCTGAACGGTTCCGGAACGGTTTGACCTTGACGGAAAAAAAATTAAAAAAAAAAAAGAAAAAAAAAAGAAAATTGGGAACGCCCTTGACGGAAAATGAGATGTATAAAATCGAAAAGTAATTTTTTGGAGTTAAGAGCTAATTTTTTGGGATAATGAGATCCCACTAATCTCTCTAATTCTAAAACATTACTATAATTTATGTATCTAACCGAAAAAGAAATAGCAATAATAAATATTTTTTTTAAAGAAAATAATAAATAAAATTGAAGACTTTGATTCTTAAAAAATGAAAAATAAATATCATAATGGAAATAATAAATAAATATAGAAAATTCGAATATATATTTATAATATTAAAATTTTATTTAACTTTTTTTTCTTTCAATATTCTGTTACTTAAATATAATCATTTTAATTTGAAATTAATTCATCACATAATATTTTTTACTACAAATAAACATAAATATGTGTTTTTATTTTTGTTTTAATTTTTTTAAATCTAATTTGTGTGTATATATAAGTTCTTTTATTAAAAAAAGAAAAGAGGTGAATAAAAAAATTGAATAAGAGAATTGAAAAAAAATTAAAAAAATAAATATAACATTTTATAATTTTAGCATATTATTGTATTCTAATGTTGGTATTAAAAATATATTTGAAATAAATTATATTTTTTAGCATTTTAATTAAAATTTGTCCGTTCCGGCCACGACGGAACTGGAACGGCAGTAGCCGCGATAACAGACTGTTCTGTGCCGGCGAACGAGGGACACAGACCCGGGCCGAGGATCAATCCCGGGTGCTTAATACATAAACAAATGTGAGTACCGGGTGGATTACATAATCTATCCGGCCTAATCAACAGACCCAAAGTAGCCCCTCACATATATTTTAGTTTTGAAATTGACAGACTACGGGTTGTGTAAAAAAAAAAAAAAAAAAAAGAAAGAAAAAAAATTGGTTGGTGAGCTGAGATCCGTGGTTGAAGTTGATTTTAGGGGGAGGAAGATGACTGTAGCGGCGGGAATTGGGTACGCACTGTTGGCAGTGGGCCCATCTCTCTCACTCTTCACAGCCGTGATTTCGCATAAGCCCTTTCTAATTCTCACCCTTCTTTCTAGGTTTCCTCCTGTCTGATAAATTATCATCTCAGATATATTCAATTTAGGTTATGTATTTAAAATGATGTTTTGGGTTGCAGTACATTGGCATGGCTGATGAGTCTAATCGCATTATCGGCAGTGTGGAGAGCTTTTCTCCCCTTCAAAACGGTGTCGTTTTGGCCCTCTGCACTTCTCATTCTCACTTCTGTTGCCTTTCAAGAACTTCTCCGTCTTTTCTTGTGGAGACTTTACATGTCAGTTTTTTTTTTTTTAATTTCCATTAATTTTTTCTTTGGAGTAATTTCCATTATATGTCACACTATGCTGATAAAGTTTGTATTCTCATTACTAATTTCCGTAAAAAAAATGGTCATCAATTTTGTACTTTATTTCACCCTGTACAACTACAACTTGTTGATTTGATAGATTATATACACTTTTGCTTTTTGAGGTTTGCATTTGTTTGAGGGATCGAAAAATACATTCACATGTCAATGGTGTTGGAGCCATTTGTTGTGCTTTCCGAGTATATCATAGTTTCCTACTTTGGGAGGGGAATTAAGGTAATCTTGACAACGACTATAAAAAAGGTCAGTCTTAACAACGGGAACCATACATTATCCATAATCGCTGACTGAACTTGTAGAATACCTCTCATGATACCACCTCTAATTTATATTGAGTTTGAGATTTATTTAAGATCGTGAGTCGTGGCACTGGCATGATTACAAGTTAGATGGTGGACAATGTAATATCAGGAAATATAGCAAATAACTTGGAATATGCTTTTGTGCAGCTGTTTGAGTTCTTTTCTTAGAATATGCACCAAGTTATGTGTTATTTTCTGCACCTTGTATGGGCTATTCGCATTACCTAGTCACTATTTTGGCTACATAATAATATTTTACAGTTTTCGTATGTTGAATTATTAATAGGAGGATGGAAGAAATGCTGGATGCTTTTGCTGATAGAGTTTCTAAACCACGTCTCTTTATTACTGACAAGATGCAAATTGCTCTTGGTACGTTTTCTTGCTATATATTCGTATTTTAGTTTGCATGGGTTATGATAATCATATTCATTGGAAAAGTCTTTTCACGACTTCATTTCTATATAGTATCTCTAAATTTCTATTTGGCAGGTCGGTGTGTTCATTCTCTAAAATTAAGATTTACCCTTTTGTCCATGGGTTTTATATATAGCTAGATGAATAGATCTCTTCTGTACTTTTGTCTTATGCCATATTTGTGCTTACTACTTTACTAGTGAATAAAAGATTGTCAGATGTCTTTATTGATTTTTCATGAATGAGAATTAAAATACATATGCAAAATGTATAGGGTTGTGAACTGTGCTTCTTGCTGATTTAATGTCACTGTATAGCAACTTTCATGGGATCTATTCTAGGGATATGTAGGTCCTTTACAAGTCTTTCAATCCAAATGATGCGTTCACATATTCGTGTGATTTACCCACCATATGTTGCCGAAGTACCTTCCACTCAATCAACTCAATCTACATATACAAACCCTTTCCATATTTTGGTTTTACGTTGTTCAAGAATTTCCTAGGCTATGCCTGGACAGTGCCTCTGAGATATTTATTCTTTGGCCTTGTTTGGTTAGGGTGATTAGCCATGATTAACTAAATAATTGGACTTTGTTTGATGTTTGCTATCCCCAATAACTTGTCGGGTCGACCCGCAAAAATTATGTTATCATGACTTATCTTGTCTTCTAGGCATGTTTTTTGTTGGACCTTCCAAGGTCCATTTATACAATTGGGATTTATTATTAGATTATTTAATTTTATCTTGGCAACCAAACGAGGCCTTTAAATACATGATTACCTGCCTCTGAGTGTCTGAGTGCTGCTGCATCAGGCATGGATGAACTTATTGAACACAGTGGCACCAAAGCCATACTTTTTCCGATCATTTAATGATATTTCTCAGGATCTAGTTTAGGAATCATTTGTGGGGTCCACGCTTCCCAGTTTCCTTTAGCAACTCAGGAAATATTTTCTTAGGGTGATAATTTCTTGTTTTGATCTGACCAATCTACACCAAGGAAGTATCTCAGTAGACTATGTTAACTCTTATTGGGAAAACATTTTTATTCTACCAACACAAATTCAATCATCTCGAAAATAAAATAGATTCTGCTGTATGACACAATAATCACATTGTTCAGTTCTATAAAACATGTACTAATGTCTTGTTCTTTTGGCAATTAATAAAAAAATTGTATCCAGTTCAGAGAAGGAACTGATCCTTAATGTTTTGCTAACTACTGCCGTGAAACAAATTCACACAATTTATCTGCTGCCGTGAAACAAATTCACAAGCTATTATACGATAGTGTAGGTTTACCCAATGCACCTATATGGTTGGCTGCGTTCCTTACAAAAAAAAAAAAAAAGAAAATTTGATTACAGCAGGATATATTTCAGCCTTCTAAATGATATGAGTGGGATTTTAGATTATCTAGAAAAAAAATTCCTTGTGCTGTTTTAAATGCTATTGTCTTTTTTTAATTTATTTCTGCAGCTGGTGGAATGGGTCATGGTGTGGCGCATGCTGTATTCTTCTGCATAAGCCTTTTAACACCTGCATTTGGGCCAGCAACTTATTATGTTGAAAAATGCTCACAGATGCCATTTTTTCTTGTCTCTGGTAAGTGTTTATTTGCTTTGAAGGTCATCTAATTTAATTGAATTATGTCATGAACTAGTGTTGCCCGATCAGAATGGTTTCGCACATTACCTACATATGACCTTAGCTAAATAAAATAGTATATCATGTTTATTAACATATCAATGATTGACAATTATTAAATCTACCTGTGTTTGAGGAGCTGAAAATCAATATCCTTTTTTTTCGTCAGCTTGGCCGTCTAATTTTCATCAACTTATATTTGATACGCTTAATTGATTCATCCTTTAAGCTCACACACATTTGTTTTTACTTGATATGCTTAGTTGATCAATTGGAATTGAATGAATCACTCAATTTAGTACATGAAACTGAATTTGTTTAACATTACTGTGATCTTTATTACTTAAATCTTATGAAAATAGAACATGCTTTCTAAATATTTACTGAAAATACATCAATATTTTGTCAAGTTGAATTTTATAATATAGCCCAGCCAGTAAAAACAAAATGTGAATATTATTTCAGATTAATTGGATCATCCAAAAGGATGCAGTATGAAGTGGTTTTGAAATTATTATTTGACCAAACATTTGAATCTATGATCGCTATTATAAGGTTATAGTCTGTAAAATTTAATTCGTTTATTGAGAAAGATATAAACAAGGAAAAAATTCTTTTTGTTTATGTTCTCATTTATACCTATTAATGATGCCAAAGACTATTTTATTAATTCCTTGTTGTGACAGACAGTACTGTTTCTTCAATAATTGAGTAATCTATAAACACCATAATATGTGTGTTCTATGCTCTTAGGAGTGATGAACTTTCCAAGGAAAACCATAGTTTTCCTAACAAATGTATGTCTACATTTCAAATTCATTGACTGAATTTGGTACTAGTAATTTGTAAGCATCGTTATATAACAAAGTAAATGCAATTGCGTCCACTAATATTATAATTAATATTGCTATTTGCAATGAATGTAAACGTGAGCTTTTTTTTGGTTCGGTTTCGCCATTGCTTTTACTTGTCATGGTTTTCGCAACATTAGTAATGAATGATGTTGAAAATACCGAAACCAAAACCTACTAATACTACAAGTATACCTGGTTCTGAAGCTGATCTTTATTTGCAGCTATTATAGCGCTTGCATTTGTTACAATCCACACTTTCTGTATGGTTATTGCATTCAATGGTTACTCTGAAGGAAGCAAAATTGACCAGTATTTTGCCCCCGTTGTTCATGTTGCTGCAGGAATGCTTGTAAGTATTTTCTCTCGTCCTAGCTTATGATCGAATAGAGAAACTAAATTGTTTGTTTTAGTCTTGAATTAACATTTGGGTCATGTTCAGACACTGATGAATCTTGCATCTGGGGGCTGCATGATCGGCATTCCTCTACTTTATTGCTTAGCAATTTTAACTTTGGCATATTGTGGGAAGATGGTATGGACTAGATTGACAGAAATCCGGAGCAGACAAGGTGACTTGTACTAATTAATGGCTTTCGAATGTAGCAAACCCTTTTGGACATTGCATACTTCAAATGATTGTTTTCAACTCTCTTTGCTCGTCATATTGAATGTATATACATGCCATTTATATGTATTTTTTGTTTAGCATTGTTGTCAATTTTTTCTCTTTTACCCGTTTATAATATATGCACGAGGACAAGCAACAGATGTAGGAACTAATGAAAGATTCATATTCATAGAGTACATCATCATCAACTTCAATGCCCAAAAAAAATACAAAAAATATTGTTGGAGTATGATGTTAAAAGTGGTGCTGTATAACACTGTAGATCTGCTAAAGTACAGATATAGACAACTGTTTTTAAACGAGCTGTTGGAGATGGTCTTATAACATGGTCATACAACCAAAGATATTTGAATTTTCGACCTCTCACTAATTACCTCCATGAAACATGTTTGGGATACCACTAGACTAAGTCCTAGTTGGCGAGTTTAATACATACACGTCAAGTAGTTAATACTCATTTCATTATTTGTTCATTTTACTTTGCTTTTAGTTTGATATTTAATGGTAATTTATTTTGTAATTGATGGTTAGTGTTGTGAAAGAAAAGGATGTAAAGCGTAGTAACTATTCAAAATCAAGTTTCATTTGTAAGGGATAAAATTTACTTATGGTTTATGATTAATTTCTCAAGTACGAGTAATTTTTAAAGGCTTAGAGTCTCACTTTGCACTCTTGAAATGTAGCATTTTGACACTTTGCATATTTGAGAAAGTGTGGAAATGTTACGTTTCTGGAAAAAAAAAATACTCGTACTTGAGAAAGTTTACCCATGGAGGATTTGAATTTTTTTGTAACATTTTGGCACTTTGCACATTTTTTTGTCCGATTATCTTAACTTTTTCCGTCAATTCGTTTTCTAACTTTCCACAATTCGAATTCTTCTCATTTTCCTACATAGTCAATTTGAATAACATATCAACGCATTTATCGTATCAAATCATACAAGAGTACATATAATTGAGTGTAATCTATACAGTCAATACACCCCCAAACTTAAACTATTGCTTGCCCTCGAGCAATCGCGACCATGTGTGCAAAACAACAAATTGACTCAAGCAACTCATCACATAAATTAATGGCCAACTTTCACGTTTTCAGAACTTTCAATTGCCTTAACCATTAAAAAAAATTACAAGTTGTAAACTCAACGATACTTAGTCACTTACCATTGCTTAAAATAAATAAAAATATACTATCACTTCAAGCATCCAATATTTGTAATTTAAAAATGGAGAAAATTTATCCTTGCATAATAATGTTTCAATTCAAAAACTCACCAAAATTCTTTACCATGCTAATATCGAATAATAATAGAGCTATTGAAATCATTGACACTTTTTAGTTTTCAATTATTGGGCTATTTGGTTCAAGGTAGGAAATATGAGTTTTATTGTCTACTCTTCCCCTTTCGATCTTCCCATTTTTGGATAGAGAGTTGGACCGAGCAAAATGTTTATATTCTTTTTTTGATTTAAGGTGTTTCCGGAATTTTGAAGATTTAGGCTTTTCGAACAATTACTTAACCTCTAAAAACTTTGCTACCATACTCGATTTCAAGAGTTCAAAGATCTCTGACTTTACTTTTGAGATATAGTTCGAGTTTTATTTTAAATATTTGGTAGGTCCTTGTTTTTTTCCTTCTATTTATCTTTTTCTTCTACATCTTTTATATTCTTTTATTTTTGTTTTTTTAAGAACAAAAACGTAACAAAAAAATTCAACTACACTCCAAGGGATAATTGTTTTCAAGAAATCCTCCATCATCTATTTTACTTAATTAATTATGCTAAAAGAAAGAAATTTGTTTCTCCAAGGCACAATCAATATTTTATTGATACAGATGTTAAAATGTAGACTTCAAAGACTCAAACGGTTAATGAAGACCCAAAGCACTTGTCAAATCACTCAATGAGAGCATCTCCAACCATGTAGGTTTTGGAGAGGTAAAAGCTAAATTATAAATATTTTACCATCTCCAACCTACAAAACTTACTCCAATGGAGAGAGCTATAATTTAGCTGGCTGCTAAATTCAATGACCCAGCTGGTATATATACCAGTTAACTATTCACATATGGTATCCAATATATTATTAAAATAATGCAGTCCCACCCCCACATTTTCACTATTCACATGTAGTCAGCCTTTTTTTCCAAAGCCAAAGTTTACATTTTTTAAGTTTATTTAATTCACTGTGTTTTTTTTTTGTTTATCTAATACTTTACCCGGTAATAATAATAATAATAATAATAATAATAATAATAATAATAATAATAATAATAATAATTATTATTATTATTATTATTAATTATTATTATTATTATTATTATTATTATTATTATTATTATTATTATTATTATTATTATTATTATTATTATTAATTTATGTAAATTTTATTATATAGATTTATTGAAAGAATACCTATTATTTTGCATATTATATATAAGATATCAAATATATTAATTGAAAATACTATTATAATCAAATAGTAAAAAGTAATAAAATATAATAAAATGCTAAAATATAGATGATATGGTTGGAGCAAGATAGTAAAAACTGAGCTGCTATAACACTGTTCATCAGCTATTATAGATATAGCATTTCAATTTTTAGCCTCTAACCTTGGAGATGCCCTGACTCAATACTTCACTTCACAAATTCCTAAGGTGAGTTCTAAAATCACACATCATATGCTATAGCATAAAAAACCTCCACGTTTAAATAAAAATAAATTCAACAAAAGTAAAACACAATCCTTGATTCTTGCCCACAACTTACTCCTATGTTACCTCGAATATAAAGCTCATCAAATATTTATAGGGAAAATTATGGCTACCCTCAAGGTAAGGTACAATACGAAAATTCCCTCTTGTTTGCATAAGTACAACCACCCATCAACTATGTATTGTCTTACACGTCCACCCTTACAATGTCAAATTTAACTAGAGTGTTCATCCGGTCGATAAATCGATCGAATCGAACCGAACGAAAATTCGTATATGCCGATCACCGAACCGTTAATTCTGTATAGTATTCAGTGTTATTTTATTTTTTATATGTATTTATAATTCGTACTGAAACTAAAATTAATCAAAAAAAATCAAAAATCAAAAGTTTAAATATTTTGAATAAAATTTTGTTAATTCGGTTATTTTTCAAACGAAACGCTAAACGGTTCTCCCTCTGTCCCAGACTTCTTCGACCCTACACCCGGTGATAAATACCGGGTGGGGCTTC